GAATGAATGAATGAATGAATGAATGAATGAATGAATGAATGAATGAATGAATGAAGGAAGGAAGGAAGGAAGGAAGGAAGTGTGGTATATCTCTGTGAGAATTTGATTCCAAAGACTAGGAGCCACAACTGAAAAAGCATGGTTCCTTGTAGTCACCTTTTTCTAAGTCCCCTATTGTTCCCTTTCTTTGCTTCTATGTCCCAAAAAGATTTATTTCTTTGCATAGCTGCTTGTTCCATGTGACTTCCTTTCCCCTAATCTTTTTCTCTTCTCTTCTTTTCCTAGGGCCCAAAAGGGGAGCAGGGCCCCCCAGGAATTCCAGGCCCACAAGGTCTCCCAGGCGTGAAAGGCGACAAGGTACTGTCTTGATGTTTCTGGCAGGGGTAAAATGACATGAGGCCATGCTATGTGTGGAATGATGTCTGTGACGGGCAGAGGGAGAACAGAGGAGACGTAAGAACATGTCAAGAACTTTGGTGGATTAGAGCAAAGTCTAGTCTCTTGTTTCCCCCAGCAGCCTGCCAGAGACCCCTGCGAAGCCCACAAGTGAGACACGAATGCAGTGGCACTCTCTGGCCTTTGGTCATACTGCCTGGAGAGTTCTGGGAATTGTAGTCCAAAACCACAATTCTGGACACGTAGGGTGGAGAGATATAGCATTTCCAACATGGAGATAATATACACCCATTTTGATTATCAGCCATTTATGTCCATACCCTGCCTAAGTTTATTTATTTCTCTTTTAAAGTTGCCCTGGCTGAAGGCCATTGCCAGCTATCAGCTACAAATCCTGCAGACATGCAGATTTCCATATGCGTCAATTGGCTGCCATATGCCTAATTTGGTCATCCTGTCATACAGATTAATTGCTCATTCTGTCTGGAAAATATAATGCTTGGTTCTGGAGATACTGGTAGAGGAATTAGAAGAAGGATGGGCAGTTTTCAATCCTGCAGGAGTTAATTTGTTTTTGGCTTTGAAGCCTGAGGGCTGTCAATGGTGGCCTGATGGTTTAGAGAAGGGACGAGCCATGCAGGAGGAGTTGGAAACAGTTTCATGAAGTAACCCCTGGTAACCTGAGTTGGATGTATTTCCTTCCAAAGGTCTTCTTCGCACACACAAAAAGATCCTAGACCAAAACTTCAAAACCACCCATTCAAGTCAAAGGCAACAGTTTTACTGGCTGCTGTGCCAACTGTAAGAAACTGAAGGCTCCACCATTCCATCCTCTCCCAAAAGCTCCCACCCATGAAAAAGGTTCCAAAGAGATTTCAAGGTGGGAGTATCGGGGTGGGATTGGAGACTTTTAATTTCTGAAAAACCACCACAGCTAGCAAAGTCATCAGCTTTCTGTGGCACAATTTATACTGCTGGATTACAGCCCTTCTTTCCAAAATCTCTAAGGAGCAAAGAGATTGGGAAGGAAATAATTAGCCAAAGAATAGCCATGTTAGAGCTGTGCATTTAAAAACAAAACAAAACACAGCAGGACCCCCATATCCACGGGATCAGTATCCGCTGAGTCACTTATCCCTGGTCTGAAAATATTAAAAAATATTAAAAGAAAAATCCTACAAATCTGTATTTCTAAAGACGAGGTCACCATAACTAGCCACTTGAGGGAGCTAGAGACCATTCTATGTATAGGTAAGCGCAAAGGTTCCCCTTGACAGTTTTAGTCCAGTCGTGTCCGACTCTAGGGGGCGGCGCTCATCCCGCTTTTCAAGCCATAGAGCCAGCGCCTGTCCGAAGACAGTTTCCATTGTCACATGGCCAGCGTGACTAGGGAACGCCATTTAACCTTCCCACCGAGATGGTACCTATTTATCTACTCACATTTACATGCTTTCGAACTGCTAGGTTGGCGAGAATAGACTTCTAGGTTGTAGAAGTCTGTTCACTAAATAGACTTCTACAATGTCATTACCAGAACTGGCCACTAGAAGGAGCAGAGACCATGCTATGTATAGCGTTGGCGATAACCCATATTTTTCAGCATCCGTGGGGCGGGGGGCTTGGAACCGATCTATTATTCTCCAAGTTGTTCCAAACCTCCTCCGTCTCAAAACGTTTCTTTTTCTTCTGCAGGGTTCCCCAGGAAAAACTGGACCCAAAGGTGACATTGTAAGTATCTGTGATTTCTTTTCTGTCCTTCTGTTACTCTTTTGCGCTTGATAGGATTACCTTGGCCAAGGCAACTGGGTATTTACTGCCTCCTTCTTCTGCTGTATTTTATTTGATCCATTCCCTCCCTATACTTTCGGTATAACTCCCGGGGCAGTTAATAAAACATATAAGAGCTGTACATTTAATCCATAAACATCCGTCACATAAGGAACGGCAGCAAGAAGCAAGCAAACAAACAAAACATGAAAACCAGCTCAGCCAGTATAAATAAGTAATGGAGAGCTTAGAGATTCACAGCCGCGTAAGTGGCTTTGAAAATCTCAACAAATCTGGAAAAATGAAAAGGTCTAGAAAGTCTGGGAGAATTAAGAGAGAAAAGATCTTCACCAACTACCTAAAAGCTAGCAACACCGATGCCAGTACGTTTTCCCAGGGAGGCCATTTCAGTGGACAATCTATAAAACCCTCACAGCCTTCCAAATGAGGCCTTTTGCCACGCGAAGCCACATTTCGGTGACGGCCTGGCAGTATTCCTCTAATGGAGAATTATGGGATATATAGAAAAAAATTCACAAACTCTCCTCATTTGGTTTCCACCTGCGACAGGGTGACAGCAAAAGGATCAGGGGAATTTTCTTGAAGCTACCAGTTTCTTCTCTTCGACAGGAGTTTGGTTGTGCTGGGACGTTCTCAGGGGAAGATTTGCAGTTTTCATGTTTTCATGGACGACAGTAATTAATTCCCCCAGGCCTTTAGGCAAGAATATATCCTTATGGCTTCATGTCCGGACTCTCGTATCTAAATCAGGTTTCACTGTACAACTCCAATGAGCAGCCGGACCTACATTGTCTTCAAGGGCAGCTCCATGTAAAATGCATTGCAGTAGTCTAACCTTGAAGTTGCCAGAACATTAAAGACCATCGTTAAGCTGTACAGCAGAGGCCTCAATTAGCACATTAGTCTCAAGCAATAAGAAGAGTTCCAAGCTTCTGAGGCCCATTGAGTCTTTGGTGGCAGAATTGGTTCCATGAACACTTTGAAACGGTAAGCCTTCCAGACGAGGGCAGACCCACCAAGAATAGCAAATACCATTTCTCAGCAGAGACAGATCATTGAATGACAGGCATTTCCATTTAATCAGGCTTTAGCTTCAATTTAGGGGTGCTTATCTTTTCCAGAATTGGTCTTCAGACACAGAGGCTGCATGAAATGTTTGCTTCCAGCACTTGCTTCTCCAGTGTGCCAAAAAAGGCAAAAAAATCAGCAAAAACTTTTGGACTTTTTGGGAGGGGGGGATCCAGAGCCAAAGAAGCTGTTAATGTTTGGTGGAAAAGGAGTCTGGAGGTGAGCATAAAGCAATTGTTTGAAGTTCATAATTGCCTTCCATGATGACCTAGGAATTTCCCCCCCATTTTTGTAGGGGGATCCTGGCGTTGAAGGCCTTCCTGGAGAAAAAGGGGAGAAGGTAAGAGAGTTTACAGAAGGTCTTTCTCCAGCTTGAAATGCCAATGCTCAGATTGATAGAGAATAGTATTAGATGTGTTGCGTATGCAAGAAAAGTATTCCTACGCTTGTATACAGGAGAAAGAAGGAGCACAATGAGAACATTGGAAACATAAAGACAAGCACCAGTACATCCATCCAATTAAAAAAAAAACAAGCTTCTCTGTAAAAATATATAGAAGATTCTACATTACAGATGTTTCAGTGTGCAATCTTTTAATATTGTACTTTCAAACCAGATATGAGAACTGATGATAACCTTTTCGTTTGAATTCAGTTACAATTCACTTTACTACTTTGAACATGCCAAACGTGTCTGATTTTGGAAGCTGAGTAGAGTCAGGCTTGTGGAAGGGAGGTGTGAAAAGCAGGTGCGGCAGCAGAGAAGCAGTGTAGCTCAGTGGGAAGAGTGCAGTTTTTTGCAGATTGAGTCCTGGGTATTTCTGGATAGGGCTAGGAAGAACCTCTGTCTAAAGCCCTGAAGCTTGACTGCAGTCAAAGCCAATGGAACTGGTCTTAGTGGACCAACAGTACAAGCAAACCAACTTCCTATATTCTTATGCTCCACTTGGGTGCAGCTAAAAGTAGCAGTACTTTTCATGGGTATGTGGCTGGCAGGAATGAAATCTTTGTAGGCATTTATGGTTGTTAAACAGAGGAGATCCCAAGGATGGTGCTGTTATTGTTAACCTCCCGTTCTTTGCTTTTGTCCTAGGGTGTATCTGGTGAGCCTGGACCCAAGGGGCAGGTGATTATCAGTTTCTTTACTTATTTACATCCTAAAACAGGCAGATAGCCCAGGTTGTCTAGACTCTAGACGATGCAGAAATAAAAAAACTTAAAATAGAGCTGGTAGCAAAATAATAATTGAACAAGTGAGCCAGAGGTGAGCTTAATACCAACAGTGGCACATCATGAAACTGAAACTGAAACCAACTGCAGAGGAAAGGCTGAAAAGCTTGAATGAAAAGGGGTTGTAGGATACTTGAGAGAAGGAGAATCTCTCCACTGGTGTCAAAAAGAGCGTTACATAAATGCCAAGATATTGCCCTCTGGGAGACCATTCCACAGATGGGTTGCCTTGCCTTGCCTGTTAGCCCCAGGAGGCCTCTGGAGATCATTGGAACATAGAAAGGAAAGACGGATGGACCACTGCTTTCATCCACCATTGCACCATATAAAATTCATTGACAAACCCATCACTGTGTGTAGCTCTCTCATGCCAAGGGGACCTTCAAGACCTCTTCTTACTGATGTCTTATGTTTCACAGCAAGGTGTCCGTGGAGAACCTGGCTTTTCCGGACCAACTGGGGACCCTGGGGCACCCGGTGTCCGAGGTTTCCCAGGACCTCCTGGCCCTCGAGGACTCGGCGGAGAACGGGGTGTTCCTGGAATGCCAGGACCTCAAGGTGCCCCAGTAAGTAAACTCCCATTCATACTCCTTGCTATGGCAGAAAGAAACAGCACAACCCATGTCTGAAGGTGGGAAAACAACAATTAATCCAGAGTGTTTTCTAATCTGGACTGTGTAAAATGTGGCTTGCCCTACGTTCCTTGTGGAGAAGAAGGATCGACGCTTCACATATAGTAGCAACCAGCGTCTGATTTGTTTAGCTCTGGCATGTTATTCTGTAGCTCTCCCTGCAAGCAAACCATGATGGGTTCAGTTGTTTCAAATCACAGTTAGAAGCCCTGGTTTGTTTAGGGCTAATGAAATCCAGACAGTTTGAATCATGGCTTGCTATTTTATCTGGACCGAGAGCTATGGCTTATCTGTGGCAGGTCTGCATAGCCGCCTACCCTGAAACAGGGTGGCAAAAAAGGATGGGAAAGGAACAGGCCAGAAATAACTGGGGGAAATAACTCTGGTTTGTTTGGTCACTTGTAAGACAGTTAATTCATGGGTAGCGTCAGCCATGGTTTAATGTGATATGTGGTTATATAATCTATGAGGGTGGGGTTGTGCTTTAGAAGAAAACGACATGGGTGCTGTGAGGAATTCACACAGGAAGCTTGTGTACTTGGCTTCAAAACCTAGACATTTTTCCTTTTTGGGATTACCATGAAGTTACTTTTTTGGATGGCTGAAAACAATAGGGCACACCTATTCATTAATATGATCCAGAGCTCACCAACACAATGCTCAGAGAGTGCAATGGAAAATGGTACACCAGACCAACAGAGTATGTTTCTGTTACATTTTTATCCACCTTTCTTTTAACGGTGCAATTAAAAAAATGCAACTGAAACATCGTCATCATCTTAGAACTGCAGAACTGCTTTAACGGTGCAATTAAAAAATGCAACTGAAACACTGTCATCATCTTAGAACAGCAGAACTGGAAGGGACTCTATTGATTGTCGAGTCCAACCCCTGCCAAGGAGGCACCTTGGGGGGAATCAAACTCTCAACCCATATCCCAAACCACTGAGCTATCCAGCAGTTTGTACTCGTCGAGTCCAACCCCTGCCAAGGAGGCATCTTGGGGGGAATCAAACTCTCAACCCCAAACTACTGAGCCATCCAGCAGTTTGTACTCCATAGGTCCCATCTTGGTGTTGCTGAAAGATGGCTGGATAGCTCTGTGAGTTGGAATCTCTGACTGGGGTTGGGAGTTTGATTCCCTACTATGCCTTCTGGGAGATAAGCCAGCCTGGGTGGCCTTGGGCAAGCTGCAGAGTCCCAGGGCACCCCTGAAAGAAAAGTGCAGTAAATTCACTGTATATCTTGATACCTAGAAGGATCACCATGATTTAGAATCAGTTTGATAGCATGCAGGGGTTATCTTCCACTGATGAGCTCATAGTAGTCTCTTGTGTCACGTGACAAGATAAGAGTCTGTTCTCTTGTTTTTTTCCGCTTGCAGGGCCGGGATGCAGGAGACCAGCACATTGTTGATGTCGTCTTAAAAATGTTGCAAGGTAAGTCCACCAAAAGAAGCCTGCAAGAAGACACTGAGATGGATCCTTCTTATTCAGCATCCCATTCCAACTGTGCTCAGCTAGGAGTTGCCCGTCAGCCCCCAAATGGGGCACAAAGCTAACAACGACCACCTCTTCTCTACCTCATTATTCGTCTTCCCAGCAGATGTGATTGAAGGCAAAGCCTCGAAAACATTTTTCTTTTGGGACGACAGAATCCCTGGGAACTGCACGGCCAATACGCATTGAATATAACTCATTGGCCCCTATATAGTGAAGTAACATGAATGCAAACAGGGGGCAGTGGCCGTTTGGCTGGGAGATTCCTGGAGTGGTAATCCATAAGAAAGAACATTTCAAAACTCTGGTTCAAAGCTGCACCATTTCTGATCATAGACGGTTCATTTAGTTCTCAGTAATAGCTGCACCCACCCTAATCTCCCATGAGTTTTCTTTTGCCCATCGCGTCCATCAGTTGCTATCAAGGGGTAGTAAATTATTGTTGATTAATAAATATTTGTGCATAAAAAAAGGCTTTTTAAAAATACCTGCTGAGGACAGAAAAGCACCAGGGGTGTACAGCCTCTCTCTTGATCTCTCTGCTTCATGCAACTCACCTCTTTTTCTCTTCCTTTCAGAACAACTGGCCGAGTTAGCCGTGAGTGCCAAGCGAGCTGCCCTGGGAGGGGCCGGGGTGATGGGACCACCGGGACCCCCCGGACCACCGGGACCTCCTGGAGAGCATGGGCCACATGGCCACCCTGGCGCTCGTGGCATCCCAGGAATCATAGGGGCACCTGGACAGATTGGCAACACTGGGCCCAAAGGTGGGCAAGTTTCTTTATATGGAAAGCCCCTCCAAGCTCTGTGGCTCAATTCGGGGTCCAAGGTTGGGTCCCACGTCGTTAGAGCTGGCATTTCTTGAATTGGTAGAAGATGCCCAACTGTTAGAAGACATCCTTTCATTAAGTACCTTATTTTGTGGTCCACTGAGCTTTGTCTTATGATTGGTCCCTGGAGGGTAAACACAGGCTTTATTGGCAAGTCTGATCACTTGGAGACTTTAGTTCTACAGGACTTACATTGCCAAAGAGACAATGCGTTAGGAATTCACTTTACTCTTCAGTTATAATGTGCCTCCAGACAGTCCTTCAGACTGAGCGTGCTCCCTTGTCCCTTCTCCGTTTCCTCTTTAGCTTTCCCAAGTGAGGGCCCATGTCTGAAATATGGGGAAGAAATCATCCTACAGTGGAGAGGATGAAGTTCCCTCTGCTTCAGAATACATGCCATGAAGGCGCTAACTATGGCTTGTTGTGACATCTCCATCAACAAGCTATGGCTGGCATCAGTTCTCCAAAAGATTATCGGAGCAGACGCATCATCAAAACTGGGTTTTGTTTTGTTTTTAAAATCCACATAGAATAAACTTGAATAGGAAGTCAGTGATACAACTGTGACTGTTCTGTCCTCTGGAACAATGTGTTTGGCAATGGTTGTTGTAGGTTTTTTGGACTGTTTGGCCGTGTTCTGGAGGTTTTTCTTCCAAACGTTTCACCGGTCTCTGTGGCTGGCATCTTCAGAGGACAGGAGTCAGAACTCTGTCTGTGTTCTGGTGTAGTGTGTGGGACAGTTGAGTATTTGTAGCTGTGGGATCAGCTTTTTGTCCTTTTCAGGAGATTGGGTGATTATGGTGATCAGGGTGTTTTTTTTTTGTTATGGTTGTATTGTTGTGATAAGGGGGGGAGATGATCTGTCACTGTGATTGATGGGTGTCATTATTCTCCAGTGTTTACAGCATTATGGGATTTAATCCAGTTTGAGAGAAAGCATGGAGCTGTATTGATGAGCGTAGGATCACTTTGCTTCATCTGCTGTAATTTTGTGGTGCTTCAAGCAGACATCACCTACATGACTTGCTGGAACACTTTCAAGTCCATCGGTGCAGCAAAGAGGACTAGTAACTTGTTCCTTACGTTTTAGCTTAATGATATGATTTACAAGAAGTTTATTTCTACATCAGTGAGTTTCCTCTCTGGAATTGCTGCATGTTGCCTACAAGCACTGAGAAAAACTGAAAGTGGGAATAAAGAAGCTTTATTTCTCCTGTTAGTCAGAGAGGCGAATGAGAGGAGAAAGACATGTCCCAATAAGGAAGCCCCCAAAGTGTTAGCATCAATGACAGTTACATTTGCTTATTGTGTGTTTGTGCATGTGTGTTTCTTTGTAATTCTACAGGAAAGAGAGGGGAGAAAGGGGAACAAGGAGAACCTGGCCATGGCCATCAAGGGATGCCTGGACCACCAGGTATACCAGGTAAGACTGAGGTGGATTGACACCACGCTGGGGTGGGACATCCCAAATCAGCTACACACGAGCTGCTGATGGGGTTGCTCAAAAGAAATGAGAACTTTGAATCTAACAAAAGAGGATGATTGCAGTACAGTGGGGTCTTGACTTGAGAACTTAATCCGTATTGGAAGGCGGTTCTCAAGTCAAAAAGTCTGTAAGCCAAGTCTCCATTGACCTACAGTGCATTGAAAACCGATTAATCCCGTAACAGGCCTAAGACTGAGGTGGATTGACACCACGCTGGGGTGGGACATCCCAAATCAGCTACACACGAGCTGCTGATGGGGTTGCTCAAAAGAAATGAGAACTTTAAATCTAACAAAAGGGGATGATTGCAGTACAGTATGGAAAAGAGTCAACAAGAGTGTGCGAGGAAAAAACGACGCCAATTGAAGCCCTAGTTGGCTGAAGACAAGGAATCAGCAAAAGAGAGGAGGAGGATGGCTGGATCTGTGGATATTTTCTGTCCAGCCCACAGGAGATCTGACGCAGCACAGCCTGAAGCCCAACGCCCTTGTGTTATGGTCCAGAGGAATTCCCCTATCTGCTGATTGGCTTTTCATGGCCAGGGCAGGGCAGAATTCTGCTGATTAGAATGACCCTGGGCTCCCCTCCTTGTTGTTCCAGACTGGGCTGAATGGGATGAAATCGAAGCAGGCTTCCGAATGAACCATGTGTCTTGAAGGGCCCGCCTTGACTTGTGCAACTCTGTCAAGGTTTCACTCACTCCACACTCTATCCAACAGGCAAAGATGTGGGGCAGTGCAGTCAAAGCATGTCTCCAAGTCCGATGGTTCATTCTAAGTAGAGTAGACCTCTTGAACCAATGGAATTTATGTAAATGTTGGCTTGCCCTTGAGCAGTTGCTTGACTGCTCTCCTTGGGAGCAGTAGGATTTAGGACTGAACTAGCGAGATGGTGATGGAACTAGGAATTGTAGTCTGGCTCCTGACATTTGGGTACAATCACAGTTTCTGATATTATGCACCCCAGGAAAGGAAGAGGATTTGACCCCTTACCCAATTGTATTTCCCCTTCTACTCAAGAGACATCTGGGACTAAGACTGGGGAAGTCTATATGATTTTCTCGTCTTCCCAGCGGCCTCTTTCTTGAGCTGGTGGTTATGTTTAGAAGCCTGGACCCGGTTGCTGGCAAGATGGTCCATTCTTCCTGGCACCCGGTGTGTGCCCTCAAGAGTTCAGATAAACACGCCAAGGACTGTGGTGCCAGGATTTATGATTTAAAACGCAGACTCTAAAGCCTCTGCCAGGGAGATCTAGCCAGCATGATTTTTCACCAGAGCAATGGAAGAGCAGAGGCTTCAAATGTTCTGGCTCTTGTTTTGGGTTGTTGTTGGCATAATTAAAGAAGATAAAAGAAAACACAGGATGTTTGAGAGCCAGCACAGAAACTGTCTCAAAAACATTAAATGCTCTGGTTTAAAAGGGCTTTTTAAAATGGCTGTAATTCAGGTATTTTCTCCCCCTGAGATTTGGCCAGATTATCCTCCGCTTCAGATACATTTTGTGTGCCCAGTTTTCCTCCTGACAAGACAGATTCTCTTCATTTTCTTGCTTGAGAAAATAGGTTGACGTTGTTTTGGAGTTTTGTAGCCCAGTCTTGAAACGGAGCAGGATGTACGGCCATCCAGAAGAGAGTTTGGGGAAAAATGGCGTTGAGGATTAAAATGTCTAGAACCTTCTGTGCTTTCTAGGGGATTCTGGGAGTTATATTCCGAGACAGTAACCTGTCAAAGCTTTGCAGAAGACAGACAAACACAGATCATACATTTCTTTCCTTCTTCTAGGTCTTCCTGGTCCACCAGGCCATGCCACCAACGGGAAAGAGGGAGAGCGAGGTTTCCCAGGTAACCCTGGAGAAGCTGGCCGGCCCGGTCTTCCTGGGCCTCCGGGCCTTCCCGGGTTCTGTGAAGCAGCTGCCTGCTTAGGAGCCTCTGCCTACGCTTCAGCCCGGATGACGGAGCCAGGAGCCATCAAGGGACCTTCATACTGAGGGTCATCAGGGGAATGTTCTTCTTGCATCTTGGACGTTGTCAAGTCGGCAAAAGTTTCACTGCTGATGTCAAGGGACTTATACACCGGGACTGGAGACTGAGGAGATGGGGAGCACCGAATTTGTGTTTTTGGAAATAAACGTCCCCTTCATTTTGGGACAAGAAACCTCTGCCTAGGCCGTAGGCATCCATCCTTCCATTTGTGCGTTGTTGGTGAGAAGATGACCCTCAGCCATTGCAAGTAGCTTCCACCGAGCTCAATGCAAAGGCACCAACCGAGATTTATAAAAATGGAAAACTCATTGATATTTTGCATCAAAATGAAGCCTGGAAAAATCCTCATTGTTGTACTGCTAAAACGAACAAGCCACAATGCCGACACCCTAGGTATTGCTGATTTTATCTCCTGGCCATGAAAATAGGTGTACATTTTGCCACTTTACAAGGTTTCCAGTGATTTTATGGGTGGGGTGGTGAGGAATATTGTCTTTTATTTTAGCCCCAAAACACATTATTTTCCCCTCTTGTTGCTATAGAGTGCTGCACAGTGATTCTTCTATTTTGTCCCTGGGTTCGGGTGTTTGTATGAAGTAGGCCTTCAAAGGAAAAACAAAAATTATGAATAAAATTCCTTGAAAAGTAGTGTTTCTCTCTCTCTCTCTGTCTCTCTGTCTCTGTCTCTCTCTCTCTATCAGTCAACTTTGAATTTAATGGCTAAAATCCCTTTGTGTAACTTACGAAGGCCTAGAGGAAACTAAGTGAACATATTGGAAGTTCTCTGCTTATTAGAACCTGTGATTCTTCTTGAGATTCTCATTGTGTGCTAGGCAGATGATGGCTTTGTGTGCAACCCGGAATCCTAGTGGAATCCAGGTAGAACCCAATATGATTTTGGGTTATTTTTTTTCTCACTTGAACTTTATTTCATACGAACACCTCATTATTTGAAAATGACACAATAAAACGTGTGATGAGAAGACTTTACTACTTGAAGAGCACCCTATGAATTGATCGTTAAGTAACTGATTAATTATTTTATTAATTCACTGAATCACCTCCCCTGATTACACCTTTTCTCTACAAGGTGCCTGCAAACATTTTGTAACATAACCTATTAAGATTTTGTTAGGCTTTATTGTGTTTATTGGAAGGACTGGTCGATACAAATTTGCTCTGATTTTATGTGTGTTCCTTTTTTCTTTTTATAATATACAGTTTGTGGTGTATTATTTAATGGAATATAACAGAATCAGCTCGAGTCTTCTCCCCAAAACTGTAAATCTTTGTAAAATAAGGTTATTTTATAAAATTTAATTAAAAATCAATATATTTTCTTCCTCAGCAAAAAATAGCTAGTCATACCAGACAATAAAACAAAGAATGAATGTCGATGAATTTAATTGATGTGTCTACTTCTTGGGATTTAATAGACTTAAAATTGCATTTTTCTTTGGGGCTTCCTTCATTAATTGTCTCTCTGTTGGATAATTAATCGACTCCTTGATTATTATGATTAATTTACTGGATCTTGCTATTGTCGAAGGGATCAGCTGGATTATTGTAGAGAGATGTCTGGTTCTGTGATAATGGAGAGAAATAGACAGTAATGTTCTCATAAGACAAAGAAGGAATATGCTCATTTTTCACAAGAATTGCAGAGTGCATCTAGCTTTCCACAATGGGGCCACATCCCAAGCTTCGGAATCCATGTGGGGCTAGGGATTGGATCCGTGGTATTATTCTTAAGTTTCAGTGACAAAACTGGCGGTGTTTCTAATTCCACTGGGTTGACACATTGAACGATTGTGAGAGACATCAATGGAGAACTATTTAGTTGCAGCCCCTGCTTTTGTGGGGTAGAATCCAGTATGTCATGTGCATGAAGTATTACCCTCCGTTGACAGATATAATAGTCTGTCAGCTGAGGATAATACTTCATGCCTCTGAGGAAGGCAACTCCAGAATAACTCTCCCGACAAATACATTTGTTGTCAAGGTGACACGAGACTCTTCTTCTTCTTTTAAACTTTTGACACTTTTGACCAAACTTGAAACCTACTTGTCCCAAACTCCAAAGGTCTCCGGTCATTTCGTGAGGAGATTTAAAGGTCACTTCTCAAAACAAGTAGGAAGGACACCTAATTAATTAACCATAACACCTCGTGAATAATCAGTTTAACTGCAGAGCCTTGGCATCTAAAATGCAGTCGCTTAACTTTGGATTCTGCATAAAATTGGGGGTTGTGCTCGTCTCGTGACTGGGAGATTAGCTGAGGAGGAAAGCAAGCAAGCTGGGGCTAGCGAGGGGCTGTTTTGAGGCCAGAGAAGGCAGGGAGGGCGACAGCAGCACCTCTGTTGGCGCCTTTACGAACTGAGACGAACCGGTTCGTGCCCATTTTTAGTCTATAGCTATGGAAACTACAATGGTGCCTCGTTAGACAGTTATCCCGCATGACAATTTTTTTGCTAGACATTGACTTGTTGCGATCACTATAGCGATTCGCAAAACAGTGATTCCTATGGGGGAATTTCGCTGGAAAATGTTAGGCCTCTGCTTTGCAAACCGATTTTCGCTAGACGACGATTTTGACAGGTTCCTCCGCTCTTGCAAAACAGGTGTTTTCGGGACCTAAGCTTCGCAAGACAGCGATTTAAACAGCTGATCGGCGGTTCGCAAAGCGGCTTTCCTATGGCCGATCTTCGCTAGACAACGACGATTCTTCCCCATTGGAACGCATTAAACAGGTTTCAATGCAGTCCAATGGCGAAATGCTTTTCGCTAGACAATGATTTCACTAAACAGTGATTTCAGTGGAATGGATTATCATCGTCTAGCGAGGTACCACTGTACCAGGATAAATGCCTATCCTTCACAATTTGCTAGTCGATCGTGGCATATGAATGTATAATAATGTCATTGTCCTTACTGCATGGTGAATGACCTTTGGTATCAAGGGCATTACATGCTCTTGTGAGCCTTGGAAATGGAGTAAAGTGAGGGTGGCCTCAAGCAACGAAAGACCAAGAGGTTATAGGATCAGTCCTAATGCCAGTTGGGTGACCCTTGAGATGAAGGAGTCTGAGGGATATGTGTGTGTGTGTGTGTGTGTGCATGTGTGTGTGCGCGCGCGCTCCTCAGGAAAGCTGCATCCTTGAATCACTGTCCTGTCCCTCCTCCCTCTCCTGCTTGGGTAAAAAAAGGCGGAAGTTAATTTCCACTATCATATTTGTAAGATGAAATTTAATCAAGAAATTAAGCCGCTTGCATACTAACGAGGCGCCATGATGCATCTGACAAACGACAAATACGAACAAAAAAAGCCCTCTTCTCCTTTCTTTCCCCTCTCTCCCTCGCCTGCTCCATCTTCTTCATTAAGAGCCTTCATAAATATTCATTGTATAAATAGAAGATTGGATGCCATTAAAACTACAGGGGATTGAGAAAGAGAGAGAGAGAGAGAGGGGATGAGTTTGGAATTATACGTTTTCAGTAGGAAAGAAAAGGCCAGCCAATAATCCAAACTTCAGCCCACATAACAATAAATCATTGGTACAAGGAGGCTAAGAAATAGCCCTGTCATTAGCTTAGTCATCTCTGTCTTCACAGTAAATCAAATGTGAGTTTGCCAAATGTTTTGGCTTTTTTAAAAATAATAATAATAATAAAGGCTCGCTGGGGCTTTAATTGTAATGGACGCCTTAAATGAACAGCTATGAATATCAATTGATCTGGCCAGCAGTTCATTTAAGCTGGAGGGAAGATATAGGACCATTGCCCAAGAAAAGCTCAACCATTTAAGGTGATGAAGGTTGACTCTTTGAGGAATAAATAGTAGCCCCAGGCAGTCTTTCACTAGCCAGGGATCTCAATGGGGTGAGAGTGGAGGGTAGCCCTATTGCCCCTTCCTCATAGCTTTGCTCATATAAGCAAGGATGAGTCCAGAGGTTTACACATGTATAGGTTCTACATGCAAGTACCCAGATTTTCCAGACAGCCTACACATGAGAAGGAAACGGTCTATTTTGCAACAATTGCTCTTTATGTGAGGAAAGTAGCAAAGGATGGTTCTAAATTATAGAATCATTGAATAGGGCTTGTGATTCTCTCGTTGGTTGTAATAAATCATACATTCTTATCCATATACAACCATCAGTTAGGGTCTGCTGACCACGGTGGTTTGGGTTTCTTTGAGATTCTCATTTTTCTACGTCCCAAATTTTGCGATTCCTGCCCTCCCTCTTAAATCTGGTTTGGATTTATCACTGGATGGCAAGAATTAGTTGGATCAAAAGCTGACCAAGAAAAAGGATGAAGGCAAATAAACCAAGGCTTTTAAAAAATAATAATAATAATGAGACACATCACATATAAAAAAGCTAGAATATTTCTGTCACCACTCTGTTCTCACAGACCATCCAAGATAAATAAGTAGGAAAAGAAGGCAGGTAGGGGAAGAAATGATTGAGAAACCCAGGAAGCTGTTTGGTGTGAAGCACAACGTGCTGAGAAACTTAGGAAGGTGTTTTGTGTGCAACACAACATTATTGTGTACAATGGCCGTATTCAAAGTCAACCCAGCTATGGTGATGTCGGACCAACAGTAGGCGAGAAACACGAAGAATTTGGGTTCATAGTGAAAGCATAAGGTATTTAAAGTTTGCATTAAATCGGACATCCATTTTGAGGTATATTTTGTCTAATCTAAGCAATTCTGTATGCGCTCTTGCTCTATATACACATTTTTGCAAGCAATTTTCTTGACTTCTTTAAATGTTATTTGAGTGCACACTTGGCTGTGCGATTTCCTCTAAGAGACTATTCTATTTTTGGGTCACAAAATTCATAGACATAAAAATTTCAATTTCGTTCCCACCTTGGTTCCGAAGCATAAAATTAAGTAAGTTTGCCTTAAATGTGAACCTGACGAATTTCTCCCCCTGCCTGACCATCAACGTGCAACAGGGCCATGTTGAAAGTTTGAAATAAATTCCCACCCACCCCCAGCATATATGTAAGAACACAGTGGGCCCAAATGGGTTTGTGATGAAACCTACTATCTTTGCTGGTGAACTTCTAGCAACGGTCCAGGATTTGAGATGTGCATGTCTCTCATAGGGAGAAAGATCTCTTTCTCCTTTCCATTTTAAAGCTAGCAGAAAGCCCTGACAGTGGTTCAATGGCTTTTATACCCACAAGACCGCAGTGTAACGGTCATTTAGTGTCCTCAGAGGTGCTCTGCCAAAGAGTGGGGGGGGGGACTCACAGCAACCCCCTTGCTTTTCTCTATGGCAGGTGTAACTTTTCCCCCTCTGCACTGGTGCGAATCTTGCAAGCCCAACCTGGCACTGGGTGGTCAAAGAGGTTTTTGTTCATCTTTGCAGGATGAGGTACACAAGTTGGCCTGGTGTTTACAGGCTCAGGTGGAGCTGAGCCAGCTGCTGGGCCACTCACGAGGCTCACCTGGAGCTCTGGAAGGAAGAGCCTGTGTTGCAGCTGCTGGGCCACTCACGAGGCTCACCTGGAGCTCTGGAAGGAAGACCTATTTAAGGAGCTGGTCTCCCTCCCAGAATTTACCTCAGCAACAGAGATTTGTTTTCAGCTGTGGTGTCCTGACTGCCTCTGAGTTATGGAGTCTCTGTATTCCAGTATCTGTTCCCGTCCCTGCTTGCATCCTGCACCTTGTTCCGGCTCTCCTCGGTCATGACCAACTGAGCAGTGAGTGCTTTTGGACTTGATACCCTGTCTTGTTCCGGCTCTCCTCGGTCACGGCCAACTGAGCAGTGAGTGCTTCTGGACTTGATACCCTGCATGGTGGATAGGGTCCTGGTGCCTTTATCCATGGCGAGAGGCTGCCTGGGATATCTCGGACGGTGACACAAGCAAAGGGCTCAGCTGTGAGAAAGTCTCTTGAGGGAACAGGGTTTCCTGAAGGGTGGGGGGGATTTTGCATCCCGGAGGGAATGTTCTTCCTCCCAGGGAGACCGGTAGGCCAAGTCCTGCAGATGAGCTCTCTTCCCGCTTGCCAAAAGTGTGCAGCTGTGTTCAGGGTGGGGCTCAAGAGAGCTATAAAAACCTCACCTTAGGCGCACACTTTTATAGGAGATGTTCTGGTTTTTTCAGGTTGCTGATGGCTTTGTGTCCTATTCTTTGCTGTTGATTCCTGGGGTGTGTGACTTTTTTGGATGGCTTGACTAGGCTTCTGGCCTTTCCTTTGATGTTTGCATGGCTCTTGGAGTGGCTTCGCCGGGATTGTTTGGAATTCGGGCTCCAGAATCTAGTTTACCCTTATGCCTTGGTAAGCCTCTGTTTGTTGGCTCTGGGACTCACCCAGGCCAGGGAGAAGGACACGTCCAGGACT